TTTTCTTACAGAACATAGTAGGTTTTCCATCCAATTTAAACACTGATTTTAATAAAATTGCATGTGTCATTAAATAAACTAGCTACTAAACCTTGATTTTCTGAGCACTTATGTGCACACTTTATACAGCTGAAGAATTCAAATGAATTCAATTGAACTAAAGTTAAGCAGACGCCTAAGTGTTTGTAAGACTACACCCTACATTTCACTGAGCACTCTTTGCTTCTGACAAGATTCCAACTCTTGAGAGATAAAACTTACCAGAGGTAACTTTGCTTTGCCATCTTTTATAAGCTTTTCTGCATGCTCATAATCATCAGACTTATCAGACACAAGTTTGGAATTATCATTTGGAGGATATGGCTGAAGAACAGACATAAGTTACTACATAAGGCCAAGATTTAAAAGACAACTCACAACATGCAAAACAAATAAGACTCCTCCGAAATAAGGGTATACCTACCTACCCTGCAAACAACAACAGGTTTGTGCCAGCTCACTTGGGCTTGTAGAGCTCAGGCTAAGGGGCTGTTTAACTGCAGACATTTACAGCACAATTAAATAGCCCCATAGCTTGATCCCTTCAAGCCTGAATCAGAGCTGGAATAGGCCAACAAAGGCTCCTAATAAGACAACTTGGAGCGGCCCCCTCACTGGAGTTTGTGTCTTCCGGAAGAAAGAAGGCAAGGGGGCAGGGGGCCGTCCTGATGCTGATGCCAGCAAAGCACTCCACACCAAAGTTATGGAACTTGAGGTCGAGTATGACCTAGTCTCTGGTGCCAGGCACAGTGCTGGGTCCATATAGAGTGTCCTGAAGCAAATGTCCCTTTCCATCTTCATTCCAAGCTTGAACGATCTGAACTTGTCGCTAATGTGCCCCTGCCTAAACACTAACATGCATAGGATGCTTGCACTCTAGACACAGTTTAAAGCCTGGGGACCCAGGCATGCCCCGTCCTCAGGACAAGTCCCCTCCAAAGACTCTAAAGTACTAACTAAAACTAAGGCTATATACGCTAAACACAGATGGCATTTGCAGCAAGAGCAAACTGGCTGAAGTACAGCAGTTCCATTGCACTGTCATGGCAGAAAGAAGGACCTGAAGGTGGAAGGAGTGCCCAGCACCCCTTATGTTGCACCATGGAGGTGCCACTGCAGGGATTACCTATCATTCTCACCCTGACAAAATCTTCTGGCACTGGAGCATGTGGCTAGCACACACACCTAATGTGGAATGGACATGAGTAATACTTTAAATTTCTCACTCATAAAAAAAGGTAAGTCTATGACAGGCAACAGCAATTTCTGCTATTCCATATTTTCTCATTATAGTGTAGGCATTGGACCAATCTTTATAATAAACAGTTATTTATATAGTATCAGGAGTAGCCGTGTTAGTCTGAATCTGCAAAAGTGACGAGGAGTTCTGTGGCACCTTATAGACTAACAGATTTATTGGAGCATAAGCTTTCCTGGGCACAGACCCACTTTGTCAGACATGCATCTGACGAAGTGGATCTTTGCCCAAGAAAGTTAATGCTCCAATAAATCTGTTAGTCTTTAAGGTGTCACAAGACTCCTTGTCGCTTCTGCGGTTATTTATATAGCAACAGATATTTTAAAACATATAATTTTATTATATATATATATATA